CTTTATTTTTAAAAACGCATTTCTGGTGAGTGAGAAAAGGGTTTGTACTGTGTTTTCAATGACTCACCCAAAATAACTCTATTCAACTTGTAAAGGTCCTGTTTTGAATGCTGATTGTGTTTGTTCTGAGATGGGCATGAAGGCACTGCAGAAGGGAGATTAGGGAAGGGAAACGTGGTGGGAGAGGCCAGTACAAGTTATATTTGTTCAGGTTCAAGAACACTCTAAAAGCATTTTTAGAAGACGTGCGTGTGTGTGTGTGTGTTAAGGAGCCACTACGAGGTTTGTACTCTTTATAGGTTTTCAGGATCCAACTGTATTAGTAGATAATTGATTTATTTAGTGACCAGACTTCCTTTTATTGATCTCTAGAAAATGCCAGGGGCAGCAAGGGACAAGGGGAGGGAAGGGAGAGTTATATAACAATACAGAATTCCAAACATTCTCATATGCATAGTGAACTCACATAATATCTAGAAGTTCTAAACAGTTCCCACGAATACAGGAACTGGAAAATTAACTAATGTTAGGCAGTAAAAGTGAATCAATAGGGCGATTACATCACAGGCTGGCATTAGTATTGGGAGACTGGATAATGATGTCTCCTATTAACTTTGTTCTGCAGGAAAACCCTTAATATCAATTGGTCTTGGTATAGACTAAGCATTTGCTATCAATACACACACCTCTCTAAAAGCTTTTATGATCCAAAATATCAGAGTTACTTAAAAGCAACTTTTTAGGACAGATTAAGAAAATTAAAAAGATTGGTCCAAATGAACATTAACAATGAATTTAATAAATTCATATAAGAATTTCAAACATTTTCCTTTCTTCTCTATACCTATGTCCAGTAAAGAGAATTTAAAAATTTCCTTTGAGCTATTTCACAAATTCATGCAACCTTGTATAATCCTGCTTCACTACAGTGTTGAGAAAAAACAGATGAGACCTGCTACTCAGATATATCACAGATGAGGCACTGAGAAGAAAAACTGGCCTCTAGGTTTCACACCAGAGAAGAGAAATTGAGGATTATGTGAGAAACTGAGGAAAATGAGCTATGAGAATCAGCAACAAAACTGACACGCTGCTTTAACATGCCCCAAGTCTAACGTGTGTAAAAGGAGGATTTACTCAGATCATGTAAATAATTTGCAAGGCTGAATTCTGATGGCATTAACACCTGCCATCCCTTTTGAAGTATGCCTTGGAAAATGAAAGAAATCAAAATAGCAGGGCTTCCTTTTGAGGAAAGGGAATCAATCTAACAATCACTGAAACTTTTAAAATATGAAAAACCCTAAGAGTAAATAATTTGTTTAAAATACGTATGATAGCAGAAATACAGCTAAAAATACTTGAATGGTTAGCCGTGGCATTAAGGAATCCATCAAAGACATAATCTAAGTCAGACAAATTATTTCTTGTCATATCTCATTTACATGTTTTACAAATAAATCTTTGAAAGATCTGAAGATTATTCTCAATGATCAACATTTTCCTTTCATTGTCTTTTATCCCCTTGTAAGCTCTTTCAAGGGGATTCCTACTGATATTACAGGGTCCCTCATCCCTGTCAAGATGATTTTCAGAACTATTGGGTAAATAAAAATTGTGTTTTAAAATAAGCTTTGAATACTTCTCAAGCTTTTAACATTTAAGTTTTTTTAACACTGTGACTTAGAGTAGATGTGGAATAACTGGGGAGGGTATAACCCATAATTTTCCAAGTTTTTTTTCAAGTAGAGTTTCTTTTTCCAGGTAATTTTATTGAAATAATAAATGCTCCTCTATTTATGTGAAATCCTACTTACCTTATGAGTCCTAACTCCATTTTGTCTTAATATGTAATGAACTTTTGGTATATTTATAACTCTTTCATTCCTTGATCAGAATCTAAATTATTAAAATTTTAAGGCACAAAATAAAATTTTTGATTGCATAATTATTACCAAAGAAAAAAATCTTAACTGGAATAAAAATACCTTAGACCTCTTAATAGTACATTTTCCTTTGCTATTCTGAAGCCTGTATTAAGGTTTGGGAAAATTAAAAATGCCTAAACAATTAAATCCAGGAACCTGTTCCCACTTTATATTGCCTAATTTGACAGAGTATGTATTCTGTACAAACTTGAACTTGTGCCAATTTCAAAATCCAGCTTCATAAGCATGAATAGGTGTCATTACTAATTCGCTAACCCACCATATAAAGTTCATTTATTTTCCCCTCTACACTGAAATTACTTTAATATGTATAGTAAGCACTTACTTGATTTTGTATGATCATGACACCATCTTGGGGAAGTAGCTATCACAATTGTTATTTCACAGATGAATAGTGTGACGACCAGAGATATTACTGGTCTTGTCTGAAGACACAGCTAGAAAAAGAGGAAAACGATTTCAAACTTTAGTGCGATATCACAAATCCAACTCTTTGCACTAAATGGAATTTTCCGTGTTTCACACAAATTAATTTTTCCCTCTAGTTTGTAAGCATTAGTGACTTAAACAGTATTCTATACATGGAGGTCTAAAATGTGCATTTACAGTTGATCTGCAAATCTACAGTTGTTTGAGGAGGGAGAAAAAAGCAAGTATCTAGAGTCTCCTCATATGTACCGCTCATTATTGAAAATTGAAATATCATAGATACTTTAAAATATCTCAAGCTGACAGTACAACCAAAATTCTTTACTTTTCAAGACACTGTCATACTTCATGGAAATTTCCTTTTATTTCCATATCCTCAAACTAAAAATGGCCCATGTAGAAAAAAAAAGTTAGAGATTGATAAATGTCTTAATTTTTTCTAATATTGTTTGCTAGAACTTTTTTTGACTCTTACTGCTCACTTGTTAAAGATATACTATGGCTCATTATTGCCTTTCTTAAGACTTCTTTGCTGTTGCCTAAAACTGTGCTGAAATAACAGCAAAGCCAAATAAAAGACAAAAGGTCTTAGAAAAAGGAACACATAGCAAATATTTTACCTGCCTTAATGCCTCTTATGAAGATAATAATAATCACGAGGACTTAGTTTTGCTTGTGGGATCAACATTGTACAAAATGTGTGCAAGCAAGGGGTGCAAGACAAATACTGAGAACTATTCTTTAAGCCAGAGATACACTCCAGAGTAAGTTACACTGTGCACATTCCATCGAAGAAATGCACACTGCAGACATTGTGTTGTGCATAAGCAACAGTGGGAGGGAAGTGATGCCGAGCGGTGCCAGGACAGAGTCAATAGTCTTGGTCTGAGCTGGATTTTCAGTCACCAAGGCACTGGACAGAGCAGGAATGACTTAAGAGGCGAGGGACAAGAAGCAATCACAGCCTTTGGGGCTAACAGAGTCATCTGAGCACCAGGGGGAAGGTTGGGCTCTAAGGCGCTGTGTACAACTGTGCAGTCTGTGGTGTCTCTCCCACGCCTCATCTTCAGGCACCTTCTTCACTCCCTCTCTTAGCTTCCCTCCGGGAGGCTGGAATCTGGCCTATCATGGAGTGCCATTCAGCTACCAGCCACACACCATTCCTGAAGGCTGAAACTTAAAGTCTCAACGAAAGCAATTTCTGATAGAGTACACGTCACAGAGAATTGGCCCGGGACAATGTTATAATGGTCCTGGAAAACACGTTAGAAGTTGTTGATTTTAGTAAGGAATAGGGAAGCTCTGAGAATTGGACACCAGGAGCGATATACTGAGGATGCTACTCAGATACCATACATGCTTTACGAGAAAGTACTAGAATAAAAACCACGCACCATATCACCTGACGAGCATCCTACATTCTAAATGCTCCAAATTCTGATCTCCTCAGCAATCCATGACAGGATTTTCATTTTTTTTTTTGGTTGTTAGGGATTATGATGATGTGCTCTGGCCTTAATCATTTCCAAATGAAATATTAATTTCTTAAAATATGGTGTAAATGTAAATATTTTCCTCTGAAGATAAAACAGTTTTCTAATTTGTTCTTCAGCATGTAAACAAATACAATAAAAATATTGGAAGGCTTACATAAAATGTGTAGTTAGCTCAGGGAAACATTGTTGCTTGCCATGTCATACTGTATCAGATTTTGCATAGCATTCCAGTCTCTGCTAAGGAGATTTTGAAAGTAACAAAAGGGAGTGCTTCGGCACATTTGAAACTTCATTCTGAAGTTTGACATTTGTTTCCTCTTTTTTTTTCTGTAGCACCAAAATGAGCCAATTAATCTCTCTTTTCCAGTCATGCCTTCTTTTTCTTGCCACTCTGTTCGTCCAACTTCAGCGTGACACTTCCACATTTAATGATTCCCCTCAGTTTATTTCCACGCCCCGCGTAACCGCGCTTAAATAACTTCCTAAAGCCCGAGAGCCGCCCGCCAGGAAGTTCGGCGGTCCCCAGTTTTGAGTTTGACAATGCCAGTCACGCGCCTCTCTGTCAGGCTCGAAGACCCGGCTTACATTCGGGCTCTGCCTCGAAGAAGGCGTCTGAGGAGCTCACGCAGACGCTTGCTTTCCCGCGGGGGGCGTCTCGGGGGACCCAGCCCTGCCCCCTTCGGGGCTACCTCTGCGTGAGGGAGCACGCGTGGACGGCAGGGAAGCCGAGCGAAGCTTCGCGAGGCCCCCGCGCTCGTTCCGGCGGCGGCGGCGCCGGGGGGCGGGCCCAATTGGCCGGAAGGGGGCGTGGGCCGGCCGCCGAGGGAGGGGCGTGCTGCGGCGAGGCGGCCGGGCTGGGCCGCGGGGCGGGAGGGCAGGCGAGGCGGGCCGGGCGGTGGCGGGGCGGAGAGCCGGGGGCGGGGAGCCGGGGCCGGTTCTCCGCTCCCTGCCGCGCTCGCTCGGGCCACTCGCGCTCCCGCGCCGCGCCCCGGCCGGCTTCATGTGAAGTGGCGGTCCTCCGCCCCCTCCCTCCCCTTCCTTCCCTCCCTCCCTCCCTGTCCCCTCCTCCTCCTCCTCCTCCTCCGGCGGCGCCCGCTCTCGCTCCCCCGGGCCCCCAGCCCGGCCGGGGCGCTGACAGCAGGGGCGGGGGGTCCCCCGCCGCCCGCCGCCGCCCGTGTCTCCCGCAGGCTCCCCGGCTGAAGGGCAAAGCGGAGCCCACCGGTTCCCAGGGACGGCCATGAGCCGACCCCTGGCGGCGTCCGCGGAGGCGGAGGAGGAACTGGAGTGGCAAGTGGCGAGTCGCCGGAGGAAGGCCTGGGCCAAGTGCCGCAGCTCCTGGCAGGCGTCGGAGACGGAGGACCTGTCCACAGAAGCGACGACGCAGGACGAGGACGAGGACGACGAGGAGGACCTCCCCGGCGCCAAGTTGCCGGCGGCCGCAGGCAGAGGTGAGTGGCGCGGGGCTGGGGCTGTCGGGGGCCCCCCGGGAGGGTCTCGCTGTGACTTCTGGAAGCTCCGCGGTCCTTGATAGGCCAGGGAGGGGGAGGAGAGGGGACACTTCCGACCTTTAAACGCGCGCGCCTGGCGAGGCATCTCGTGCGTCAACACAGACACCTGGCTGCCGCCCGCTCCCCCGCACCCGGGCACGCAGACGAGCTGCCCCGAAGGGCTGCCGGCGGCCGCACGACCTTGTCCTGCCTGGGAGGGAGTGCGCCCGGTGGCCCCGTCGTCCCTCCGGGGTCGCTAACGCGCTGTCCCCCCCCCTCCCCACCTCGCTCTGCCCCTCAGGGAACGTGCCCAACGAGAAGATCGCGATATGGCTCAAGGACTGCCGGTGAGTCCTGGCGCGCGCCGCCCGCGCCCCCGGGATCGTCCCCGCGGGTCCCGTGGGCGCTGCGAGCTGTGAACCGGAAAGCCAGCCCAGCCGATAGCTTCCTCTCCGAGCGATTAGCAATGGAAGCTGTGCTGCCGAGGACTCGGTGACCGCGTTAACTCTGCGCCGAGGACCTGTGCTGGTGCACGGCCGGCGAGTGGAGACTGGAGGCTGGGAAATGGGAGTTTGTGAAGGAATGCTCACGTTTTGCACGATGTTTGATTTTGCTTTGGGTCTGGCGTGTGTGTGCGTCTGGCTCCGAGTCATCATCCCTTTGCCGGCTCTTTAGCTCCTTCGCCTTGACTGAAGGATTCCTCGCTAGCTTTTTCGGTCTGTGCCTTTATTCGGTTTGGAGAGCTGTTGAAGCTAGCAGTTTGCATTTGAAGTTTGTGTCTTGGACATGAACTTGTCACATCGCCTTGGAATTCACTGAAGGGAAATAGGGCTTAGGAAGCATTCAGACTGCACAAATCTGTTTAATTACATGCTTTGGCAGCTGGTACAAGAAATGTTTGATAGAACGCAGGGGTGAAATCATGTTGCAATTAAATCTGACGGCAGAAAAGGAACTTGTTTCCAGTGTGTTCCAACTTACTGGGTATTTGTAAAGTTTTTATAGATAGAGAGCAGCTTTTTAACCCGTTTCATGTTGCTGTCTGAACTGTCTTTGCCTTCTCGGTTGAGGCTTCTGTTAATACTTGCTTGAGGTTTCAGAATCGTGGAAGCTTTCTCTGGTTTGACTCTCCTGTGCTAGCTACATTTCTTCCCTAAAGACACATGAGCTATTGAGCACTGCTGTTGTTAATGCCTTGTTTGATGAACTGACTGCAGGGGTACTGATTCTTCCACTTGGGAATTCTCCTCTTTCCTGGGAGTGTCCCAAGCACTCCGAGGTCTGGTGAACTACGTGGCTCTTCCAGTTAAAGGTGCACCGGGCAGGCGCGCTCTTGACATGCCTACACCCCAGGTTGACCTTGCTATTTTCATTCAGTCCTATCAGAAATGTGTCAGAAGAAGGTCTTTTATGACTTTCACTCAGGTCTTTTAAACCCTCCCATCTCACTTTTGGTTTAAATACAGTCCAACTTAAAATACAGTACAGGATTATGGTTGCTATCTTAAAATAAGTGTAACACTCACACTACAATTGTAGTAGTTTATTTTTTGATTTAAAGTGTATACCTGCAAAGATTTTTAAAAGCCGACAGCTCAAGTCATCCACTTCATGCATAGGAATTTAGGTTGTGTAAGACTGCATCAAATAGACACTAAATACCCACAAGTGCATCTTTTAGGATAAATAGGCAACTGTTGCTACTCACGGAGACACAGTCATGTGTGAAAAATTCCGGAAGTTTTGTTGCTGGTGTGGATTTCTGTGGGCATGTGCTGTAGTCTGCTGCCCTTTCTCTCACAGGTTCCCTTCTTGCTTCCTGTGGTCGCACCTATTCTATACAAAAGCGGCATTCATTTGTAGCCTGGACAGCTGGAACAAGCAGCCTTAATACTGGCTGTGTTATCACAAATTGGATTGCCACAATGGTGCAACTATGTATGTGTATGTGTATGATATAAATGATATAAAATACCATTTTAGACTTCTGCCCAGATTTGTGCTCCCAGCTTTTTCATGATTACACAGAAATGACTGGGAGATAATTTTTTTTCCTTCCTGATAAATTCTCAGTCTCTGCTTTTTAAAAAAAAATTGCTATAAAAATAATAAAAATAAGTCTTTAAAAAATTGCTACTCATATCGAAAAAGATATCATGTTTTCTTTTTCAGGGAGTCTTTAATTTAGCAGCCCTCCTTTTTTTAAGTGGAAGTAAATTGCTTGAATTAGCATGTAAGAAAAACTAGATAGGTAACTAAGAGTCCTTTTTTTTTTGAAGGAGAATTCCAGTTGTTTTCTGGTTATTTGCCATTTTCTGCTCCTGCACAGACATGTGGAGACATCTGCTGAGAAGTACTGTAGTGTTTTAATCTGATTAAGAGTGCAGCCTGAAGGGAAAAAGAATGGCTTTTAAAGGCATGTGTTAGGGTTTTAGTAAAATATATGTGAAAATGTAGCCTAAAGGTTTTATTTATATCATCATCATAATTGATTTTGGCTTTTTTATATATCAAAACCACTGATTTGCAGGGAACTGCCATTGTATATTTTCTTACAGGAAATTTTACTTAATTGCCATCTTAGTAAAAAGTATTTTCATGATAGATTCCATCTCTGATCTGAATCTGTGACAGGTATAAAAAGTGTTATTAAAGAAAAGTTTGTATCACAGAGTAGAAAATAACATGTTTCTTACTGTAACTTACTTTTGAGAAAATGCATTTTTGTATTTGAACAAAGGAACTTCTGTCAAATCAACTTCAAGAATGCGGAAAACATTTTTGCAGTGACTGATTCTTGATGTTGATTCTAAGTTATATTGTTTAATGATGTTAGGAATTGAAAGAAATCGTGATTTAAAAGCAGAAAATAAATATTGGACAAAAAAGCTGTTGGAGGTCGAAGAGGCACTAGATGGTGCTCTGAAATTCTAGAACTACTAGTGATAAACTAAGACTTGAGGCTGAGGAAAACTTGAGCCACATTACCTTTCTTTTGTTTGTTTTTTTGTTTTTTGGTTAGATTTACTTTTGTCTATTTGAAAGACAGATTTAGCAAAGAGAAGGCGAGATCTTCCATCCATTGGTTCATGCCTCAAATGTTCACAATGACCACGACTGGGCATTGTTGCCTGGCTGAAAGCGGAAACCAGGAGCTTGTTCCAGGTCTCCAGTGCTGGTTCAGGAACCCAAGCTGCTTTCCCAGCCACATCAACAGGGTGGGATCCGTCTTGGGAAGTTTGGCCTGAGGGACTGGACCCTGTGTTCTTACAGAATGCTGGCTTGCCAGGTGGTAGCTCAGCCTACTGTACTACAAGGCATTCCCAACAGCCTCACTTCTAATTAGACTCAACTGGTTAACTTTATTAAAGTGAAGTTTTCTTCTCATTTTTTATTTCTATGAAGAGCATGAGAAGAATTTTCTTAAGTGTTACTGTCAATCTTTTCTCTCTCTCTTTCTTTCTCTCTTTTTGGCAAAGAAAATGCCAGTTCATATCATTTGTAATTGTCATTCTTGCTCTTAATTGCTGCTAAATCAGACATGTGATTAAATCATTCCTAGGCACTGACTTGACTATAGGTATTTGCTTAGTTTGTAGGAATATTATTTATGTAATCCACTTGCATTCCTTGTGTGTTTGGGAGGAGAGTCAGATTCAGAGCTAGCTTTAAGGAGGGCGGTTGGGAACAGCTCTCCAGATGACTCTGGATGACTCTCAGGCCTCTGTTTCTGTGGTTTTAGTACGCCTTTGGGAGCCTCGCTGGATGAGCAGAGCAGCAGTACACTGAAGGGTAAGAGAATGTTGTCTTCCTAAGTCTGTTCTACACAAGGATTTTGCTTGATTTGTGCTCTGGGTGAAAGTTTATGTGTGAGTGGGAAACGTGATGTTCATGTTTATAAAATACCCTGTTGTGAGCTGGAAGCCAAAACTCTGTTATAAACCATAGAGTAGTGGTCAGTTAAAGCAATCACCAAACCTTTCTATAGTGTGAACCGTGTATTTTTATTGTCCAGCTAGATATTGTGAAGACTGAAAATAGAAATATGCAATGTAAAGATAACGAAAATATGGATATACGTATTGACTGAAGTAGATCATCTGCAGTACAGCATTTCTTTGCTTACATTAACTGAAATGGCCACACCTGATATTTTACCACCTGTGCAGAATAGAATTCTAAAGTTCAAAGTACACCAAGAATGTACAGGTAGTGTCAAGGCATAGAAAATCATTTACAGTGTCAGGAAAAGCTAACTTGAGCTCCTGACTTCATATGAAGAGGGTAGCAGGAATGGTTGCTCTAGGATCTGGTTTTCCATGAAACAGTTGGGTAAGATATTTTAGCCAGTTGAAGATCTTCAGAAGCATTGTCATTTATAGAGCCTATAGATTTTGCTTGCTGCAAATGTGCTGTGTCTACAATGAAGTAAAAGTTTATACTTCTTGAAATCATATAAACAAATTCCAAGTGTATTTATTTCTGAAACATCTTACTTTATCTTATGAAATGTTTGCTTCTTTGTTTTTACTAAAACAGTGGAGGTAGGAAAGAGAAAGAAAACAGATTAGAATGAATGAATATTCAAATGTTTGTTTCAGGTGTACTTGTGAGAAATGGAGGAAGTTTTGAAGATGATTTGTCATTGGGAGCTGAAGGTTTGTTGGAAAAAATGGTGTTCATGTAGTTTAAAAACATAAGAACTGATGAATATGTTCATCCAAATGTAAGTTTTAAAAATGGCTCCATATGTTCCGTGATACTGTCCTTTTGTCAGTTAATCATTTAGGCATATCCTGCAGGATACATGGAGGGATGACTCCAAAAAACCATTGTGAAATGTCTGTATGCTTGCCTTCCTTGGGGGTTAAATGCTTAAAGAGCTGTTTGTAACAAACTGGTGGTAGAACTAAGCAAGAATTGTCCTGAAGAAGGAAGGAAGCTTAAATATTTATACACGAGAAAAACTAAATTGAAGCATATTTTTAGTGTGAAGTAGACTTATGTCCTACTTACAGCTGCAGTTTGTCTCGCTTTGCATGTAAGTGTCGTGTCTTCACTTTCTTCTATTTTCTGATACTTAGGTTAAATGACAAAGGGAAAATGGCAGTTAGTAGAACTTAACTTAAAATCGGTGTTTGATAGTTCCTTCAGACTCCATCAGCAATTTAAAATATATTGTGCTATTTTAAAATTTTCACAGATTTTTACTAATACTTTTCTTTAGATTCAAAATAAAGCTTTGCCATGTAAATTTTCCTATTTTCCTATTTCTCTGGTATTTTTAAAGGTTTCTTATAGCTTGATGATCATCTTTTATTCCATTGAGTTAAATAGGTTACTGATAGCTTTATAGCTTAATTATTAATGGAAAGTTTTTAAAAAGAATTGCCACTTTTATTAAAGCTTTAAAAGCCATAAGTTGGTGAATAGCAAATGTAATCATTGTATTTAATGTCCTTACAGATAAAAAATGAAGAATAAGTCAAGTGTGTACAAATAGATGTGTTGTTTTTAAGATCCAGTTTATTCATTTTTGAAAGGCAAAGTTACAGAGAGATGCTCTGTCTGCTGCCTCACTCAGAGTGGCTGGGATAAACCAAAGCTAGGAGCCAGGAGCATCATCATGTGGGATCAGGGGCCAGAGCTCTTGGGCCATCGTCCACTGTCTTCCCAGTCACATTAGCAGGGAGCTCCATGCAAGGTACATCAGCCAGGATCTGATCTAGAGGCAACATAGGATGCTGTCGACCCCAGTAGACAGACTTAGTTAACTTCATTCTGTGTATTTATCTGTAAATGTTAACATGTAGTGAATTCACTTTACTCCAAATGTTAATATTTATTGCACAGAATTTGTTAATCTAAGGTAAAGTTGAAAGGCCTTTTTTAAAAGAAAATTTATGTTGAAGTGAATACAGGGGTGGGTGTTTGGCCTAGCAGTGGAATTACTCCCTGGGATATCTCTAACCCATTCGAAGCACCCAACTGCTATCCCAGCTCCTTTGCCTCAGGTTTTGATTCCTGCTGGTGGGTGATCTGCGAGGGAACAGATGAGAACTCGTGCTTGGGTCCCTGCCATCCTGGTGGGAGGCCTGAATCCAGGTGCCCTGGTTTTGTCATGACGCAGCCTTGATGAGCACTGGGTTGTTGAGGTTGTGGATAAAATATCAAATAAACTGAGAGTGAATCAATATATTTTTAAAACAAGGAAAAATAGTGCCAGATTTTAACTTATGTGCAGGAAAAATATCCTGCCTGTAATCTTTAAAAAAATCCCACATTGCAAATGATGTTAAATTATCTAAAACCATACCTAAATAATGACAAATCATGTTTGACTTGAGCTGTTCTTCATTAACAGCTATGACATGTAATAATTAGTGTCATCATGGGAAATCTGTACTGCCTATTTTCCCTACTTCTAACCTGATTAAAAAAGTAATCAGTTTTCTGTAGGTTGTTTTATTTTATGCATGCAAGTAAACACAGTGTCACATCACCACAATACAAAAGCACCTTCCACAACTTGTTAGTCCTGTCCTTTTCCCTGTGTATTGCTTTTAATTATGCTGATTTAGTGAGGCAAGACACTGACACATTAGGCATAGGGGCATAATTTTGTAAGTAATTTTCTTATTTTATGATTGTATCAAAGTAGCTACAGTCCTCCTAACAATTGTTCTTTCTGTTTATTTTTACCTGTAGCCAACCACCTGCATGAAAGTGATGCTCAAATGGAAAATTGGTCAGTATCTATTTTTTTCTTTCTTAAAAATGAAGAACATTCACGAAAATAAAGGCTTATGTAATCTTTCATTTACAGCAATAATATCTTGGCCAAAGAGAGAAGACTACAATTTCATCAGAAGGGGAGAAGTATGAATTCCACTGGATCTGGAAAAAGCAGTGGGACAGTGTCAAGGTAACTAAGCTACTCTGACGTCTAAGTGGCAGTTACATGGTTTAGTAGATGACCTGCTCTCATTGCTTTTTTTGTTTAAGCCAGTTATGATGAAATCAGGAGGAACACACTATTTCCTGGATCAGCATAATGGACAGGAATGTTAAAAAACAAATTAGGATTAAATGAAAAGTAACAAATAACATTTGTAGTGCTGCTGGGATCTGTTACTGAGTGTCCTGAGCCCTATAGCAGCACTGAAGAAGAATTCCATAGTGGAGTAACTTCAGTTTATGGAGGACAAAAATATTTGGTCAGGGATTTGAATTAACTGTGACAAAAACATAAATTAGCAAAGGGACTGGCATTGTGTTATAATGTGTTAAACTTCTGCCTGGAATGTGGGCATCTGATGGGGGTGCCAGTTCCTGTCATACTGCTCCACTTCCTATACAGTTTGCTGCTGAAGGCCTTAGAAAAGCAGCAGAAGATAGCCCAAGCACTTGACCCCTGCTGCCCACATGTGAGACTCTGCCTTTGGCCTGGCCCTAGCCCCACCAAAGGCAGAGGCTGGGTAGTTTCTCTCTATCCCTGACTTTCAAATAAATGAATAAATCTTAAAAAATAAGAATAAAACTTCCTAATTTAAAATTGGGAATTTAAATGTAAGTGTCTTTAACGTGTTACCTTGAAAATCCTGAAAATGTATATTAAAATAAGCCAGAATGTGTGCCCATATTCTGCTCAGTTTAAACTTTTAGCCAGATTATTGTATTAGAATGTTAGCATTTGATTCTGAAACTAATTCAATGTGCTTCTGCGTAATTTCCATCTTGAGTTCCCTATTTTCTTAAGCAAGTCCTGGAAAGCTTGGATGTTGATTAGTTTGAGAGAAAAGAGTTGAATAATACTTCTCAGTTTTTCCTTAATTTGTTTATTCCTCTCCTCCCTCATTTGTCCCTTAATTAAGAGTAGCTGCTTTATAGGGAGACTCTTAAAATGACCAAAGAATAAAACAAAAATAAGGTGGCTGTCCAAAGTCTTTTTCCATCATTGGCAACCAGAGAAAATTAATTCATCATTTTAAATGTATTAATATCCACTAATTTAAAATGCAGAAAGCTATTGAAATAAGTAGTAAATTAAAGAGCAGAAGCTGAAGAAAAGATTTTTCTCCTAGGAGAACAAGAATATGTCATCATGTATATTGTGATGTGCATTAAAAATTAAGATTTATTTTGCACTATAAGACTTATTTGTGTCTCAATGTTTCTCTTTTCATCTTTCTCATTTTGTAGTGTTTCAGAATTGTTGGAACTTTATGAGGAAGATCCTGAAGAAATTCTTTATAATCTTGGTTTTGGACGGGACGAACCAGATATTGCTTCTAAAATTCCTTCCAGATTTTTTAATTCATCATCATTTGCCAGAGGGATAGACATTAAAGTATTTTTGAGTGCTCAAATGCAGCGGATGGAAGTAGAGAACCCTAACTATGCTTTAACAAGTAAGATTTTAAGTGTCAGCATATTATTTTCTAAATTATAACACCTATAGGAAAATGACCAGTCTTTAGGAGTTTTGTGGTTTATGGAGTTTTCAGGACTAGCACTGGATAGTTAAGTAAGTGATGTAACTGACAGACTGGTTATGTTTCTTATTCTGCATTTTTGTTTGATTTAAAGAAATTAACTTTTTCCAATTTCTACCTCATTTATTTGTTACTATAATTCACTTGGAAAACCTTATACTTGCCTCCAGATAACTTTTATCCATGGGGGAAAAAAGTAGAGGAGTGATCTTCTTAACATTAAATGACATCAACCAATTTCAGGTGCTTTTTCTTAAATCTGAGAGAGGATGGCTAATTTTTTCATTTCTGCCCATAATGTATCTTTGCCTATTTTTTTTTCTTTGGTTAGGTTTGAATATTAGTATTCTCTAGGTTGTTCATGGAACTTCCTACTCCTGGCTATTCCAAGAACCATATCCTCATGCTTTCTCCTTACTTGTCCCTAAATTAGGAACAACATATATACTGTGTTCATTTTCTTAGGAGAGCATTTGGAAAAATCTTAATGGAGTCTTCCTCCTAAACACAGATCTCAGCTGTAGATCAATAGCTAGTACTTGCAAGTTTATTCAGTATTGTCATTGCGCCTTATGTTTAGTTCTGATTTTTGTAAAGATGTAAATTCTAGTGTACAGAGTGAGAATCTTAACTTCATATCTCCATTCAACAAATGGAGAGGATTTTTTACATTATTATTATGATTTTCTATGTAGTATGTTTTGTAGGTATAGGGATAGGAACCCCTCCCCTTCTCCCTTTCCCTACCCATTTCTCCCTGCAGCTATTTCCCCCATATTATCATAGTAGTATGGTCCTTTAGTAGCAGAAAATCTAGTATCATTTTGCCAAGGTATATTTAATTCTTTCATTGGGAGTCTTTTTATTGAGGATTAGAGATATGTACTGAAATGTATCTTCACTTCCCAGTACTCTAGTAAAGGGAGCGGTTTAAATGTTCGGTAAGGAAAATGTTTTTCTAATTTTGTTCAAAATATAAGTTGTTTTTAGAGTTCTAAATAGTAGTATAATTCTAAGAAAAATGTATATGAATACGAATACATTCACAGAGAAATGTAAACACACATGTTTTTATATAATTCTTGTTCCCTTTTCGTAGGCCGTTTTCGTCAAATTGAAGTGCTTACTACTGTGGCCAATGCGTTTTCCTCTTTATATTCCCAAGTCTCCGGGACTCCCCTGCAGAGGATTGGGAGTATGTCTTCCATGACATCTAACAAAGAGGCAGAATCTCCTCCTCCTTTGACTCGAAGTAACACTGCAAATCGATTAATGAAAACACTATCAAAACTGAATTTGTGTGTTGATAAAACAGAGAAAGGGGAAAGTAGTAGTCTTTCCCCAGCAATTGAAAAGGGAAAAATTCTAAATGTCTCTGTGATCGAAGAAAGTGGCAATAAAATAGACCAGAAGTCTCAAAAGATCATAAAGAAGAAGGACTCATCTCCTCTGCTGGCAACAGTGAAAGAGGAAGTCTCAGGTGGTTCAACGGCTGCTGCAGAAAATGCTGACACCGACAGATTTTCTGATGAAGCAAATAGCAATTTCCACCAAGAAACTGAACAAAATAAAGAAACTCAGTGTCTTGAGAGTAATCTGGGTGAGGTATCTGGCATTATCGAATCTGATTTAGATAACAATCTCAATGCAGCTAGCCATGGTGTGCTAGAAAATAGCAGTGATCTGAGAAATGTCCCTCTGTCCACACCTGAGAAAGAGCCCTGTGCACTGCTCCCAATCCCTTCCATAAGGAATCTTCTGACCCAGCAGCAGAAGGACTCGTTTGAAATGGAGGAGGTAGGTAAAAAATTACTGAGAAGTAAAGGAAATAAATGCCCCCCCAAATATTTACAAAAGCATGGGTAGTTAATGGTTTTATGCTAGAAAGAGTCCTTTAAATTTTTCAAGTCAATATTGCAAAACCAAGATTTGTAGGGCTGTGCTGTCATCCACTTAGCTGGTCATTGAACTTTACATTTTTCTCTCAGGTGTAAGATTCTGATGCCCAGGGAAGTTCTAAGAGTATATTGAAATTCAAATTAGTAGTGTGTATTAGTTTAAAAATGCAGGCATTGGAATGAAATGGCTTTGAATTCTTTCCCAGTGAGCTACTTTGTGCCTTTGGGCAAGATTTTCTGAATGCATCCAAGTGGTAAGATTAAGTCTGAGGAGTACTCTGCTCATAGATGTTGGTTACTGACTGGAAAGAATGTGAGGGTACTGAGTTCTACACCTGGAGAGAAAGCAAGGGGACCATAGGAGAGAAATTGGAAGGGTCATTGAATAGGATTTCTGTAGACCCAAAAGACTGTAAAACCACTGTTAATTTTTACACAGCAAGAAGCATGCTAGCTAACAAAATTCAGTTGTGCAAGGTACGAATCTTAAATTGATGAGATTCAGCTAGAACTGCCTTTGTTTTTATAATTTTATTTTTTAAATTATTATTATTATTATTTTTGCAATTTTGTATAGGCTGGGATTCACCCCTCCCCCAAACTCACACACCTCTATCCGATTCTTCCATATTGTTACAACAGTGTAATCCTTCATAAGGAATCATAATTCTATCAGTCTCTTATTTAAGTGCACCCTGACATTGTTAGTACAGTGTCAGACAGTCCAGCATCCCATTGTCTGCCCATGTCCAACAGTTTCACTGGGAATCCATCTTTCGTCTGGAAGCAGGTATACATGTTCCTTATACCCCTTTGAAGAACAGAAATGATACTTGGGAGGTAAAGCTACATGGCTTAGGGCAGGAGCCTGACACCTGTCCAGCACCTGTCCTGAGATGGGCACTCTGTGTGGCCCTTTAAGTACTTTTCATTCTGTTGGGCAGGCAGTGATGATCTCATAGTACACTTACAGAAACATGTATACTGGTGAAAAGTGAGGGCCATAAATAGTATATTGTGTAATTGAAAAAAAGCATTGCAGAAAGATTTGCTTTTGTAATAATTCACAGTTGGTCTGGAATTCTATGGTGTTAGTTTAGGAAATTGGAAAATGAGGTAATTGGTTGTGTACATAATGTCCCTTTAGGTGTTTATCACTTACATTAGTGAAGATTCTTTATTTGTTAAAAAAAATTTCAGTTACCAATATAGCTATATATAAATATATCTTTTACTGTTTAAATAAGACCTTGAGAATGAAATAAAGGGAGTAAGATCAGGCCTTTGGACCCTTACGTTTTTAAGCTTATTTTATTTCTTCATAGACTTTTTTTTGTATTTATCCTATTTATTTAATTACCAATGTAATTTTTAATTATAATGAGGGCAGAAGACTAAAGCTTCTCTTTCATTCCATTTTGGCATTTGATTGCTTTTTGACTTTGTTTTGATATAACCTTGTGCTAGCACTCGTAAGCAGTAAATTTTGGCCTTCCATGGGGACTCTTTCTGTAACAGTTAGATAGGGTACTCAGTGCTTGCTTCTGCAGCACATCTACTAAAACTGAAAGGTATATGATAGTCATCTTCTTACACTTTAGTCAGGAGCACGATGTGAAAATCTAACCAGGTAGTTGTGAATCTGATATTGGTGACTCAGGTTGGATAGTCATGTAAAGATGAGTAGTTTTAAATAAGTCAGTGATTAAGTTCTTCTTAATTTACAGAGTTCTAAACTATAATTGTCTGTGTTTAAAATATTATAGGTAAAAGGGCTTTTGAACAAGTATAAAGTTAGGTGATAGATTAGTTTTAATGGCAGACTACATATTTTTTTGCTCCCTCTGCTGGTAGAAGCAACTAATGAAGCGGCATTGATATGACCTTTATAAAAGTACAGGTTACATGTATATGTGGTTGAAGAATAATCCTAGATGCTTTTGAAAAAGAATGTGTGCTCAACCAGAACTACATTGTAAATATGGGTGATTTTAAGGATAAAGCTTCCTTATTAAAATACTTTCAAAATATGATAAAACCTTCTAAATTCTGTTTTTATCCCTTTTGGAACGTCACAAAGAACTTGTAGAACAATGAATAAAGAAAGGAAATAATGTGTTACTTTAATTTCCTGTTCTCCCAAGCATGATTTGAATCATACTGACAAGTGAAGGGGACAATCTTACTAATGCAAGCTTTAAGATCCCATGCAAAATAACTCCTTACTATTCTTTTGGTTGGTGTTGTGAACTTTCTTCTGTTGAATAACAGAGGGTAATTATCAGTGAGAGCTTTTTTCTCTGTAAGCCAGTTGTCAGACAGCTTATCTGAACGCCAGCTGCTTTGGAGTACTGTAGGAGAAGATGGTGCACATGTGGCTCCGTGTCTGACACAGAAGGTAAGACCTGACAGTCACTAGGAGAAAGCAGAGGAAATGCTGAAATACAGAGAGCTAAACAGATGGCAAGACTGATCCAAGGGAGTGGAAATGGCAGAAACTTCTTTTACTTCAGTGTTAAATGGGGAACTCTTACTTGTGTCTGCATATTTCTGTTGTGTTATCTTTTCTGTAAATGAATTTATACTTAAGTATAAACACTATTGAATGTACACACTGATTTTTTTAAGCTACTGGAAGGTGTTTAGCCTCTAAATCCTGTCTTCATACTGATTATTGGTTTAACTAATTCATTAGTTACTTTTAGCAATTAAAATTATGAGGTTATTTTGTACTTATTTAAGAAAGAGGATGAGAATGAGAATACGCCTATCTGCTGATTTATTCTACACAGTGGTTGGAGGGTGGGTGATGCAGCAGAAAGATTCAACTCAGGTCTTCCATGTGGGCAGCAGGAATTCAGTTAGTGAAGCTGTCACTGCTAATGATGAGACTCATGGAGTCAGGAGCTGGAATCAAGCAGGAAACCCAGTACACAGCGGAGAGTATGTGCAACTCAGCCACCTTCTTAACTGCTTATGAAAAAGCTCACCCGAAGCTTAGGGAATACAATGAATACCCATTAGCTGTTACTCAGTTCAGATACATTTATTCATTCTTATTCATTTAATTCAAGGACACCTTAGCAGCACATGGCCAGAGATCCACTGAGCATTTGAAACAATTAAGTAGGGAAAATCCTGCCCCGTATATCTGTATTTATTTTATAATTCTCTCTGACACACTCTTATCTTTAATTCATTTGCATTCTTTTGCACATTTGTGATCAGTAATGAAGCTAAAAAAATTCATTGTTACTAATAAGTCTGTTTCTCTAATAAGGGTTTTACTGTGATTTTGCCAAGGATCCTGAGTAGTTTGATTTGTGAAATGTTAATATCCTTACTCAAAATCAGTTAAGGAGTTTGTACTGAAAAGAGAAAGAGCAGATTGTTGACCATAGGGAGGCATCATGGACTATACATATAGTTCCCTGAGGAAATATGTTCATTAAAGTGATACTGTCTTGTGATTAGTTTGATTATGTGTAAGGGAATTGAATGTGTGCTAATTTTGTATTGAAAAGTGAAAAATAATTTGGTGTATCAGATGGTTATGCCTGACCCGCAATGTTTATAATATGGATGAAGAAGCATTTTAATGTCTGTTACACGTTGTTTTATCTGGTTGGTACTTTATAGAAAACTCTTTGAAGTAGTTTGGATCTGAATAGCAGCTATTAATAGGTCTTTTGTTGAATATTTTTAAAAAAATCTATTTTGTTCCCTTGCACTCAGAACAATGGTTTTCCTGTTGAACTTGTGTCTGTTGCTTTGAATAATTTATTATAACTTTTAAATGATAGCAGAATAAAGCTTACTTTATTTGTCAGATTTACAAGTGACAATTTATATATAAGCTTATGTTTATAGAACTATGTAGTACAAAGATCTCACATGTGGGCAGTTTTTAAGTTGTGTAATATCTTTAACTTTTGGGATTTTTCATATTGGTTATTTCACTTTCATATCTTTGGAAAGAATCGTAGTCCTTGAACAGATTAATGACTTGAAACTACCAGAGGTGTATTTAAAACATGTTTGCTGTTTGCTGTCTGGTTTTGTGCAATTCATTTTTGGCTAAGTTTCTCACCGTTAGTAAAATCTTAAAGTATAATGTGATAGATATTGACATATCTGCAGCTTTCAAATGTTGAGCTGTTTTAGAATAGATGGAATATCTGTGATGTGAGGATAGGAATTAAAAAATTCTTAAATGATGTACAGGTGGAAAACACAAAAAGACAGCTTTTGTAGGTTTAGTATATTTCTGGACAGAGGTTCAGGTAGGATTTAGGATTTGCAGTTTTCTGCATCTTGATTCTGAATTAAAACCTGTGTTTCCTCGTAAAATTCTCAAGTTAGGTCTTGGAAGAGCATTTACATCAGAACAAAGCAGCCCTGCATCTGAGTGGCTTTTAGTACCAGCAAATTTGTGGCATTTTCAAAAATTTTGCACAGGGAGCATGGTTTTCCATTTTCAAAGATGGAAAATGTTTAATTATCTCAACTGTGTCACTCATAGCCTGCTACACCACCTGTATTTGCATTTTTCTTGAGTTTGACCTTACTTTGAAGTTACCACTTAAAGAACTTTGTATTATTGATCTGTTTTTCATCCAATAGCAACTTTCTGAAACATTTTGGGGAGTTATACATGAATTATTTTTCATTACTAGTTACTAACTTGCCTGGTGTTTTTAGGGAAATTAGATCAGCAAATTGATTGCTGGTATAGTCTACTAATTGTGAAGTAAAACATCTTTTAGTATATAACACATTGGTGAGCTTTACGTAAGTTAATTTGTTGAGCAACAGGCTAGTCCTGGCATAGATTCTTAGTTTTAATGAGTTAAAATTCCTTTTTAGGTCCAAAGCACAGAAGGAGAAGCTCCTCACATTCCAGCCACTTACCAGCTAGGCCTCGCCAAGTCAAAAAAAGGTATGTGCGGGAATATTCACCAATTCATGAACAGGTTGTCCAAGTGTGCTTGGGTGACTTTGATGAAAAGAATGGTTTTATCTGCCAGTGTGCATAGTCCCTGTAAGGGTTGAAAGCAAATTAAGGACATTAGAAATCATGCTTAATTTATTATTTGATTCAATGTATTTTAAAATTTCTTTGAAAACTTTGTGATCACAAACTCTAGTTATTAGTTTGCTTATCCTATAATTCATTGGACAGTTCTGTCTGCTGTAAATGCTTTTTAGTTCTGCATAAGGGCTACAAGGAAAAGCTAGAACAATAAATTAAAGCTCTGTTTTAGATGATTATGATTAAGATATATTTGTGTAAACCATCTCTGGGTTTTCATTACTCAAACCCTTCCAGATCCTAGGTATAATATGTAAGTGTTCCTGTGTCAAATTATACCAGTCTCTCAGTAATAGTTAAACTCAGTTAAACTAAATTTAAACCACTGATCAAAGGTGAGTTGCTACAGATACCATTCTTCTCTTGAATTATTAACTATCAACTAGAGAACCTTTGAATCTCCTTTTCACTTTTAACTTGAAAACAGAAAAAAACACAAAACAAAACATGTCTGGCATTTAAATTGAGAAAGCTTTTGAGATTTAGAGAAAGGAAGAAGTTAAAATGATCCCTGAAGGTAGCACTGTTTCAAACTTTACACATGCTGAACCACCTTTTTTAAAAAAAAAAAAACCAAAAAAAAAAAAACACAAAGAGTTATTATGCATGTTCCTAGAATAGGAAATTACATGTTTGTTCCCTCCTGATCCCTGAAATTACTTCATAAGAGTCAATATACATGTAAATTTTCTTTTATTGCCATATGGTATCAAGGAACAAGAACACCAGTCTCAAAAGGTCAACGTAGTTTTATTCAGACACACAGTGAACTTTCTTATTAATTTTCCTTCTTTCTGAGCCCATATATGTACGTAGGTGTTTCTTAGCTGCAAGGCAGGGTTCATAGCAATAAAGAATTCTTTGCTTTAGCTGGGTGAATAGGGATATTTTGGAGAAACTGCCTTTCCCTGTGTTACAAGAGCATACACAACAGTGAAATTACCTGAACATGTTTTAGGAGCCAGGTATCTAGGTTAAGAAAGATGACTTGTGAATTGGGTATATGTTTCATCTATTCTACATCTATTTCTGGTGGCATAAGCAAGAATGTTAACATTTTTATGAGTCAGATTTCCATAAATTTCCATAAATTAACAGTAAAATGTTTTTTTGCATGTGTGAATGAGAAGAATTAAGGGTATGATTAATGATTTTTGGAGAGCAGCTTATTTTGATCAGATAGAATGTACCTTTGGTTAAACATCATTGCAGGATTGAACCACTAGTAATACATTCATTTCAGCAGTTTAGTAAAAACGGGTGTAGCATTTTAGTAATTCAAAGTTCAAGATTTTTTTTCTCAGATCTAGTTGGGATTTCACATACTAACACCTGGAGATGGTTTATGATTTAAGGGTTGTTACAAGCTAACGGCCGGTATGTTGAGAGAAGTTTGACATTTTTCTTATAAAAGACACACAATATATTCTTTAGCAGAAAATACATTGTTTGCTTTCTTTATAGTAATAGACAAATACAAATTTCCTTTTTTTCAACTTTAATGTTATTGCTGACATTCTAATTGTGACTAGAATATATCCTCAAAACAGATGTCAAGTGCTTTTTAGTCTTCCCCTTTGTTCTATGGAGAACTTCTTTGGTGTGTGTGGATGAGACAGATTGTTTGATTAAACAGCATAAGTTGCAATTTGTAGTTTATACCAAAAAGTTTGTATAATCTATTTGGTTGCTAAAAAGCTCTGTAAGATAGGAGAACTGCCATCCTGTTTTGCAAAGGAGAGTTTATTTACAATGTTGGGACAGAGCCGGAACTTTAACCCAGCTTTCTGTTCTTTGCATTGCCCAGCCCCTGCTCTGTAACTTAAACAGTACACATTGTGGCCTGACCTAAGTGAACTCAGGTAGGGTATACAGGTCATGCTGTTGGCAGAGAGAACTCTCATCAGAGTTGGTCACTACTTCACTTAGCTTTCTGGCAACTGCTGTTTGCCCAACCAGATATGCAGTCTCCCTTCTATCTCATATAAGTGACTGCTTAATTCTTTTGTTGCTTTAAGGAAATTGTCATTTAATTGGTTCATTCACCAAACATTATTTATTGGCAGCTTCATCTTGGTGCTGAGATTCAGAGTAAACTAATTTCCTGTCTTCAAAGCCTTCAAATCTCATTTATTAAAAACAAAAGGAGAAAAGCCAGCATGTAATTACATTGATAACTGCTATAATATAAGGTGTTAACCATTTGTTAATTATTATAATGCCAAATTAGTATGGTAGCAGTTTATTACAATTGAGTTAGTAAGTTAGTTCATTGCAATTTAGCAGCTATTTCAGTGTGCCTGGATTTGTTAAAGATGTGAAGTAATTTCTTATATTTTATTGTACAGTTTTGATGATATCAAACAATGCTACAGAATTATTCCAGGCTTTTAAAGTAAAGAATTATTTCATGGAATCTAATGCAATGGGTTTTTTTTTTTTAAATTGAAGGTTAGGCTTACATTATTTGATTTTGGATTTCATTTAGTCATCTGATTCTTTTTTCTCTATGGTTAAAATCTTACATGAATGTGGATTTGGTAAACACTCTGATTAGCATTTTGCTTTTGAAGTGTTCTGCAGTGTTGGAGTCTCGTGACGCAGCTCCCCTAGTAAAGGTAGTGAGGTCTCCTGATACGTTAGTTGTAATATCAGTGGAACGTGATTATGCTTCCTGTGCTTAGTTGGCCACTTGAACTTACTTAAAACCTTTATTTTTTCTTTTTAGGTTATACTACTAGGGATAGAATGTTGAGGAAGAAAAATGAGCAGAAAGGTGTTATAAGACTTAACAGTATCTTACTAGTTGGACCTATTTGAAATAATTGTTCAAAATGTTTGCATCATTTCACCCATTAGAGACATTTAAATATTCTTGAATTTGAGGTTGTTTCATTGGCCTTAGTTGCATTCATAATTTCTTACTAGGAAGATAAAGAACTTTTAATCTATATATTTAAATTGATAACTTTATCTCCTAAATACTTTTACATATTTACATAATGAAATGGTTTATTTTTGGACTTCTGTTTTTATTAGCAGCAAATCTTATTTCAGCTAGTTATTCTGTAAGGAAAAGGCATCATTTGGATTTGCCAAAGTACATGAATAACTTTTAGCAATTGATTACTGAGGGTTTTTCATAGAAGAGCTGATTCAATTGTAAAATTAGTAATGCCTATTTTTTTTGACAGTCAGTGTTGTGTGTCTTTTACCTGTAATAATTTTGCCCTCACGGAAGTTTCATTCTGAGGTTTTGTGTGGCTGGTCTTTTTATTCATAGATCAACTCTTACGGACTGCAAGTCAGCATTCTGATAGCAGTGGTTTTGCTGAAGATTCTGCAGACTGCCTCTCACTGAATCATCTTCAGGTATGATTTTTCTATACAAGCACTATGGCTAATGTCTTCATTTGTAGGTGAATTTTATAAATAGTGGCTATATATATCAAGACTATGTCACATTTATTTTTCAAGCATTGGACTAAAAAAATTTAGATTTCATTAATTCTTTGCTTCTGAGTATTGAAGCAAAAACACATAAATTTTTGAACCACTTTTTTTTATCACTAACTTTTGTAGTGTTTTTTTTTTCTTATTGTTGAATCATCATAGTGTTTCAGGATTTAATAATACACTGACATTCAGTGTATATCTGATGCTTCAAGAAAATTATGCTTTTGTGCTAGACTGCGTTCTAAAACCCAGGAAACCTTTCATCATCAAGGAACAAATAGTTACATGAGGAGTACACAGAACACAATTTTTTAAATAAACCAGTTTTAAAGAAAATTGGAATGAGAGAAAAACCTCAAAGAGCCTTTAGGAAGCTGACATTTTAGAAGTATATAAACAAAGAGATTAGATAAGGAGACTTCGAGCATCATCATGTGGATAGATAAGCCAGGAAGTGGAATTGAGACTTGAAGAAAGGCAGGTCATGACCATGAGAAATGATGAGGCCATCACGAGGCTGGGACTGGGAGTGAGTGAATGAGGAAGTGAATGAAGCAAGAGGGTGTTGAGGAATAAAGGAATGGTAATGAGGAGGAGATAGAAATCTTCACCATATTTTTTAAATGCTTATGGTAACTTAAGTGTAAGGGACTTTTTTTGGTCTTATTAGCATGAGTCTTAGTGAAGTTGTGTTGCAAGGCCAGGAACAGTAAGTCAGGGCGGGTTTGGTAGAAGGAAATCTGGAAGCTAGAGAAATAGCTCTGTTCCTTAAAAAGATGCAAGCAGAAACACAGATTGGAGGGATTGACTTTGAAAGGAGGGACACAATTTCCTTTCAGAATGGAGAGAAGGACTGCTTGACTGGGAGAGATATGCAGATGCCTATAGGTGCAACAGAAAAAAATGTTTTGTTCATTTTATCTTTGAATTTGTTTGAAATAGTGTAAGAGCTGAAATACTTTCTGTGAAATAATGGGAACAAAGAAAGTTAGGAGCAGCCCCAGAGCCACCCAGGTGGGGGTGGGGATGACACTGGGGAAGTGGGAGACCAACCAGGTCTTAAAAGCATTGCATCTGTTTGGCATTTTATTAATGAAATTTCCCACTTGTATTCTTTATCCTTTTACTTGTTCTCCTTGCACAGGTTCATGAGTCTTTGCAAGCCATGGGGAGTAGTGCTGATAGCTGCGACAGTGAGACAACTGTCACATCACTTGGTGAAGAACTTGTTACACCAACAGCACAAGATCAACCTTATTTTAATGAATCAGAGGAGGAGTCTCGCATCCCTCTTCAGCAAGGAAGAGTGAAGACCACAGCAGGAGCTGACCAGAAACAATCAGATAGCCAGGATTTGGCTCAGCTTGAGACTATTGAGGATACAGGAAAGAAACAGCTCTCTTGCAATCCAGATCACTTCCCTGAAACTGAGGGGGATTTGCCTGCAGAGCAGACAGTGGAGCCGTGGAAGGAAGCCAGTGCTGAAAGTGATGTGGATAAAAGCAGTGAATGTGAATTTGCCCAGTATACCACACATCATATTCTGAAATCACTGGCGTCTATTGAAGCTGCCACATCCAGTGACGTGAGTTCAGAGAACAAGACGAAACCTCTCTCCTCTGTGGAAAGAGTCAGTACAGCTTTGCAAAGAGCTCAAATGAAGGTTTGCAGTCTGTCTAATCAAAGAGTAGGGCGTAGTCTGATAAAATCAAAGGATCTGTTAAAACAGAAGTACTTATTTGCAAAAGCTGGCTATCCTCTAAGGCGGTCTCAGTCTTTGCCGACCACCTTACTGAGCCCAGTTAGGGTTGTGTCCTCTGTTAATGTCCGGTTATCTCCAGGAAAAGAGACAAGATGCAGTCCACCTTCCTTCACCTATAAATATACACCTGAAGATGAGCAGGACTTGGAAACAGGAGCTGTTGAGCATGACAGTCAGTCTTTAGTTAAATCCACTATTTTCATCTCTCCATGTACAAAGAAAGAAGAAGCATCGCATAGTGAGATGAACCGGCTGGAGGAATGCCATCCTAGAAAGACTGCTGCTGGCTTACACTTCTCTCCAGCACCCATCTCTCAGTCTACCTGCTCCCTTCACTCTGTCCACTCAGAGTGGCAGGAAAGGCCCCTGTGTGAGCACATGAGAACTCTAAGCACTCACAGTGTTCCCAACATCTCAGGTGCCACTTGTAGTGCCTTCACTTCCCCTTTCGGGTGTCCTTACGCACACAGACATGCCACCAACCCTTACCGAACATGCTCTGTGAATCCTCCTTCTGCTATTGAAATGCAGCTGCGAAGAGTGTTACACGATATTAGGAACTCACTGCAGAATCTTTCCCAGGTATGAGAAAAAGTGTATGTTTATTAATTTTGGGCTTTCATTGTCCTGGACACTTCTGAAGTCATGAAGGTGTTGAAAAACCCATGTGTTAGGAAGGATCTCAGCCTTTTTGTCTTACATTTCTAAACTTAATCTGTCCTTGCCCTCCTCCTGTAATCTTCCCTCTTGCCTTATGGGATAGGCCCTACCTACTCATAGCCTCCCTTGCTAGAGGAGGGATCTTGCACAATAGGTGTCCTTTCCTTTCCAGCCTGTGCTCTGCTGACTTTGTCTTAATCTGGAGACTTTGTCAAGTCATTCCTATTGTTATAGTCTTCCAAGTCCTTTCTCTTTTTCTCTGCCATTTCTATGTGCTGACCACCTCTTCCTTTTCTAAGTTTTCTTCCCATTGGCGTTGGTGGCTCCATGTTCTCCTGATTCTGCTCATAGTCTCTAAGCTTTCCCCTGCACCTGCTGACCTCTGATGCTGGTTTGATGGCACAGAATTAGTCTACTTCCACTGGGCTCAAAGAATGAAACTACTCCAAAGAAGAAAAAAAAAATCAGGTAAAGTGTGAACTTGAGTAAAAAAGATCTGTGTATCTTATCACTTGGAAAGTTCTCTTTCTTAAATTAGTCAGTAGACTAAAAGTGATTTTTTTAAGCCACTTGTGGCCACTTGGGGAGTGAAGCAGTGGACAGAAAATCTTTCTGTCTCTCCTCTTCTCTGTTGATCTGACCTTCCAATGAAAACATATCTTAAAAAAAAAATTGGGGAGTCCTGGGATGCATGCAATCCCTCTTATCATGAAATAGTGGACAGGAAACCACTTTTTAAGTTGAACAGTGAAGTTGTTAACTTTCTAAGTTATAGTAAGATAAACAGTTAAATATAGGTTTTATCCTCATGACAGTGCTTTCATAATGGTTTGTCTAACCAAAACTGTGGGTGGTTCTTCCCCCTTACAAAACATGGTTGTCTGTGACTGAGATAGTCTTTTAGCTATAATTATGTGAAGCTGGGGATTTCCAGGCCCCTGCCCACCTGCACCCTCATGGTACACCCTGCTTTCTAGGCCAGGTTACACTTCTGCTGCAGCCGTTGTGTCTTCCTGTTGGATTTCCCATCAGTACTGAGCTAATTAATCACCCACCCCAAGAGCCAGATGTTGTTCATTAACTGGCCTCCAATCTCATTCTTTAGGTGTGTGCTCTGCTTATACTGAACAGCATGCCAGGGTCACCATAGTTGTACCATCTTCTGTTTCTGCACCTGCCACTTTGTTTTAAACATGGAATGCTCACCCCTCCTGTCTTTCCATGATTGAGTCATTGTTAAGTCTCAGTCCAATTGTCACTACTTTTGGGAAGGCTTCCCTGGTTGAATCTGTAGGTGTTTCCAGCATAACAATCCTCCCAGTCTATACATTGTAATGTCTGAACTTTTTTTGCACTGTTAACACTTTTATCATCACTAACTGAAATAGAACAGAAGCTCAAATATCCAACAGATACTGTGATGGCTACCTGTTCTTTCCAGCCAAGTCACCAGTCGCTATATTCTAATAAGGACTTTGGCAACTGATCCTTCATATTTGAGTTTGATTTTTCTTTTCTGATTTCACATGGCAAGAACAGTCCCGTGCAACAGAAAAGAACTAAAATGTTCCTTTTGCCCCCTCATTTGAAGCTGATACACTTGATACATCTAGGAATGATAGGTGGGAGCAGTGCAGACTGATTTCTTTGGTCCTTGTTTATAGTGTGAAGGACTTTTTTTTGAAACTCAAACAAAAAAATATTTAAGCCCTAAGTTCTCTCTTTTCAAAGTCTTAGGTAATTTGGGATTAGTTTCTTAATCATGGGTTTTAATCCTATTTTCAACTTTTTTTGAAGTATCCCATGATGAGAGGACCTGATTTTGCTGCTGCTCCATACAGTACTCCGAAATCATCTGTTCTACCTCTTTATGAAGTAAGTGCTTATTTAAATCATTGTAGTATAGATTAATCTGCATTCTTGGAAACATAATTTATGTGTATTGTGTTTTAGAATACTTTGCAGGAGCTCCAAGTGATGAGGCGGAGCCTGAATTTGTTTAGAACACAAATGATGGATTTAGAATTGGCAATGCTCCGTCAGCAATCAATGGTTTATCATCACATGACTGAGGAGGAAAGGTAAGAGTTCTTTTTGTTCTCACAGTTCAAAAACTTGATCATTTAAGGAAAAATTTTCAACTTGACAGCTTTTAAAACTTGAGTTTTGTTTCTGTTGCATTGTACTGTCTGTTTTGTCAACCAATGTAGATTAAATGAAGCAAACAATGTTTTCCTAAGTAAACTTCTTTAATGTTTAAAGAAAATGTCTGTTGTTACCTGGTGGTTGATTTTTTTTTAGTGTTTGGTATGTTTATGGTTGGGAGCAGGGGAGGAAAGACCAGCTGTTTTAGTGGTGACACCTATTAGAGTGACTGCGATATGTACAGAATGGAATTTCAGCACCTTTGTTCACTGATAGTATTTCTCAAAAGAGTTATTAAGTGGAATCCCAAAGCTGCTTTCCCAAACTCTGTGCCTCCCTCTGTATTACTAGGTATGAGGTTGAGCAGCTGCAAAGTTTGAGAAATTCAGTCCGAATGGAACTTCAGGAGCTGGAGCTGCAACTGGAGGAGCGCCTGCTGGGTCTGGATGAGCAGCTGCGTGTGGTGCGCCTGGCTTCCCCCTTTCGCTCCTCAGCACTTGTGGTGCGTGTGCCTGCTACCTTGGGGCTTCTCAGGAGTTTGCGCCAGGGATTTAGGAATGCTGTGCCAAGTAATTTAGGATAAGTACCTTCATTTTCAACCATAGTTGTAAATTGCATTAAAAGCATGCAGGATGTTTAAGGAGCTCTCCTACAGATCAGCTGACTTCACAGCTGTGCTACCTTTTTTTAAGCATTTAGTGTATTAGAAGTACCCTGGAAAAATATTAGTGGTAATTTTTAAAAAATTGAATAATTGACAATATAAAAGTTTATGATCTTTAAAGAAAATTGATAGTAAGTTTGTTATGAATGTAAGTTTTAATTGCTGTGTGTAACTGCAGAGCATATTCCATAGTCTTGGTTTTGTCTTTCTTGCTTTTAAATAAGTAACTGTTCCATTAAGTACTTTCTTCTTTTTGAAATCTTTTTCATTCATGTTTTTCGAGGAATTGAGTCAGATGTGTTGACTAAAAACATGTTTATAACCAACAGTATAAAAACAAACACTATGTGTCTTTGTTTTGTACCATCTTTCATTAAGAGTACTTCCCATGAAATTTGAACTTCTATGTTCTGTTTTTGCCAGTATTTTTGCAGCTTATAATATGTAGTTTTGAAATATTGAAATCATGCCTTTTTCTTTTTATTACTTCAACAAAACAATGATTTTTGTAAGAAAACATAATAGTATATGCCTACACATGTATGAGGGTACTTCAGAAAGTTAATGGAACAGGATGTTTTTTGCTGTTAAAAAAATACATTCAAATTTTTTGTAATATTCATGTTCCATGAACTATTTGAAGCCTCCTTGATATACTTTTATGATATAAATAATAAGCAAGTACAACCTTGATGTTCTCACACACGTGTTTTGCATAGAGTAAGAATCTTCTGTTACATTAATGAATGTATTTTTCTATGGTTTTGATCCATCACTCTGATTAATGTTTGTTGATGAGAGCAGAGAATCAGACATCTGTGCATCTTAGGTGTCACCTTCAATCATAGCAATACATTTTGCAGGAAGCTGTAACAGTTGAAGGTGACAGAAAGGGATACATAAGAACAATAATTGGCCTATTAAAGTTTACCATAAACTGCATAACCCTTGAAAAATTATAACCGTCCAGGTGTTGCTATTATTTTTTTTCAGGGAATGTGTGGCAGTAGAAGTGCCGACAACTTGTCATGTCCTTCTCCATTGAATGTAATGGAACCAGTAAGCCTTTCTCTTTTTCAGTAACTGGGGAAGAGGGTGCTATATCATCTCACTTTTGTCTGTTGCTTTTTCCAGTGGCTGAGAGAGTATGTGTTATAGGTACAAAGGATTATTAGTCATATGTTATAGGTACAAAGGATAATTAGATATTTGAATTGATGGGGATTATTACAATCCTAAAGCCTGTTGCCATCTTAGGTCACTGGAGAGCTAGCTTAGTTACATGGTAATGCATCTTTAATCAGCTACAGGGGTAATGCATCACTTCTCAGCTCTCTGTCTGAGATTAAGTGTAGGAGATAATGCATCTCAAAAAGCACTTAGTTTATATTTCAGTGCAAATGTGTCTTCATGATCTAATCCCAGGTCCTTTAGGAACCTGGATCTGAAACATAACTACTTTTTTAAGCAAAAAAGTTTGATTTTTAGACAGATTGGTTCATTTAGGTGCAACAACATTGATTATTTTGTTTACCACGAGATACTTTTCTTTATAAGTAATTTGGGCCACCTTCTGCTAACTCATGAAATCTTCTCCCTTATGTAATCTAGTTATGTATTTTATTATGTAAGTACATTATGAAATTATATCAGCTATGGTCTTTTACAGAGAATCAAGTTACTCGATAGAATTGTACAAGTTACATACTTTTCACAATCATCATAGTTAAAATATTAACCTTCATAATTACCAAGCTTAATTTCAGGATAGAAGAGTAAGTGGGTTTTTTTGGTTTGTTTTCATTTTTTATTTTTTAATTTTTTTTATCTCTAGGTCACTGAGCTGATCAGAGAACAGTCATACCTGAAGTCTGAACTGGACTTGGGGCTTGGAGAAATGGGATTTGAAATTCCTCCTGGAGAAAGCTCAGAATCTGTTTTCTCCCAAGCAACATCAGAGTCATCATCCGTGTGTTCTGGTCCTTCTCATGCTAACAGAAGAACTGCAGCAGCTCCCAATGACTCAGTAGGCAGACCTAAAACTCAGTTAGTGGCAAGAAAGAAAGTATTCCGAGCATCAGTGGCCATAACACCCACTGCGCCTTCTAGAACAGGCTCTGTGCAGACTCCTCCAGATCTAGAAAGTTCAGAGGAAGTTGGAGCAGCTGACGAAGCCTCAGAAGTTGTTGGAATTAAGTGTGAAGTAGAAGGGCAGGGGCCAGCTGCTGAGGAAATACATAAAAATGTTGAGCAAGATGAGTTGCAGCAAGTTATACGAGAGGTTTGTAAAAATCTATGCTTAATTCTTTTATTCTAAGATAGCTGTAGGAGGAAGTTTATTTGAATTTATTATTTATAAGATACTGTTTTGATTCATTGTATTTAGTAATTTGTTGAGTGCTTTTAAATTAGCTTCCCCATTGATCCAGCTCATGTCTGTTGAGACATGTTTGTATTTTTGCACATCCCATACTTCAGTGTGAAGTAATTGTGATTGTGCAAAAGAAGTATGTAGGATTCACAGTAGGTGAACACATTAAAATCTCTTTGAATTTCTCATTCACACATTTGTAAAAATCAAAGTTTAAAATTTAAATCTGATCCAAGGATGAACTTTGTTTTTTGTTTTTATTCTAACAAGTATAATAATTTTGATCTGTTTGATTTGTAGGGTGGAAAAATATGGAGATTATATGAATTGTTTGAAAATTGAAATCCAGTATGGAAAGAGTTTGCTGTGAATGATAGTAGTCTGAAAATTTGAATCTTTAACCCTAATTCTAGGTTACCAAAGAAACTGAAAAACTTACTCACTTTAGATCAAAACTCTGGTTCTTTGACCAACAGAACACAGCAGCAGAAGAGGCATTTTTCATTACTCTGCCTTGAATGTAGAGAATTAGTCAATCATTTCTAAGAATATCACCATAAACATGAAAGATTTTATAATTTTCACACATTCAATCTCACATGCCAGGTAAATGTTTGGAGAATTTTTCAGAATCTCTTTCTAAACCTATTAATTACAAACTAATCAGTTCAGCATTTGGCATGGCTTGGAGAAAGGTGGTCTTAACATTTACTCCCTGGCCATCTATAATAAGATTCTTACCAAGCTACATAGATCAAATAAAAGGAATATTGATTTATGTAAGAAAACTAACTCTTTTGAAGTACTTTGAAAGCTGACTATAATTTTATTTTTTAGGCTGTATGTTTTTGAAAGGGTGGCAGAGAAAGAGATACCAAGGGAGAGAAAAAGAGAGAAATCTTCCATCAGCTAGATATTCCCCATTTTCCTGCAATAGTTAGTGTGAAACCAGGTTAAAGACAGGATGCAAGGTCTCCATTCAAGTCTCCCCTTTGGCATAAGCCAGAAGCAACTTGGTTACGACATCTGCCACAGGCACGTCAGCAGGAAGCTGTGTTACAAATGCACCATTGCTGGGGTTTGGATCCAACATTCCGAGAGGAGATGCAGGCATCTCATCACAGTGCCTGGCTCTTGGTTATAATTTTTAAAAATAGTTTGTGATAATATTGTCATAGTGCAGTTAAAAAATTGAAATTTTAATTCATCCTCATTTCAAATTGATAATGTTTTTATCTAAATACATATAGTACTGAATTCCATTTTTTTCAGCTGTCAGAAAAATTAAATTCTATCATCTCAGTAAATTGTGAATCCCTAACATCATGAATAAATCCACCATTCAGAAAAGCAGGATTTAATTTTGTGTTGAGCAGTTTTGCAGGTAAGAGTTAACCATGTTTGGCAAACACATTCAGGGAAGTTTTCTTACAGCACTCATGGGTGCACGAAAACAATGACATCTGTCTGTCAGGCCTTTGTTTTCATCATTGCACCGTAAGAGAGGTTGTTAGAGTGCTTTCGTTATCTGCAAGGCACAAATACTTATTTGGAGGAAGAACATTGAAAGTCTTTTTAGACAAATTTTAATATATTCATTCAGTAACTAAACTTTGGTCATCTTCTAGAAAGTCCTTTTTGGTGCAGATATGTTACCGTACTTAAAAGTTCATTCTCTATAGTTATCTGAGACGTGTGTGATCAGTGAGTTGAGATTCTTTATACTTGCTTTAAAAATGTACATGAGATTAAACTAAACATTTTTAAATAGAATGAACATGTCACAGCAGCAAATTCAATAAAATTAAATGTCAAAAAGTAAACACAGATTGCTTCATGTTTAGAAAGTTTTTTGCTTATGGAGGCTCCTGGGCCTGGTTCATGCATGTCAGAAACTTCAGTACAATTCATCTGACATGTTTTCAATGTGTATGATTTTGGTGAAAACACAGCTTGTCTTTTGGAGGGTCACCGATACAATGGGCTGCCAAGCAGCAGGTCCTCAGTAGATCATGTTGTGTAATGTGTTACCCCCACCCTTCTTATTCCCAGTCAGTCTGTATTTCCAGTGAACATTCCTTTATTAATCTCAAGCGTCTGTCTTTGGCCTATTCCACTCTTGCTCTTGAGGTGATCTTATCCGTCACAGTAGAGCTCTCTCAGTTCTAAACCATCCAGTGTCTCTGTGACCTGTGAGACTTTAGAACTAATTTATTTGTCCATGCATTTATTCTTTACTAAATTATTAACGATGTTTTGTCCCTTTCAGTGGTAGTCTGAATGTAGTCATTTGTTTATCTACTTTCTCTTCCTGTTACTGTCTGATATAGTCTTATTCTTAGGTTCTCATGACCTCTTTTCAATTCATTCAGACATTTGTTAGACCCTTAATTTATGTTGGGATGCATTGATAAATCAGGCCCAGTCTCTTCCCTGAAGTCACCTGCAGTACACTTTCTGTTTTACCCTCACCCTCCTAGTTGATTTCATTCCACCTTTGAGAAAAATTGTCTTGTGTGCAAGGCTCATCTCTATTCTCTCATCCAAGATTCTCTTGGCTGCAGTCTCACTTCTCCACTATCATCTAAAAATGTATGTCATCTGGTATTGGTATAAATAAGTAAATATGCCTGTATTTGATTTTGCCACTATTGAGCGTTTTTGTTTTAGCAACAAAAGCACTTTTTGATTGTCTTACAAAGGTAGACATGTATAAAAACATACAAATAAACCTAATATTTACTTAGTCCTTCCAAATTATTTCTTGCCATGAAATCAGTTACATTGCCATAGTTTCCAGTCTTTTCAATTTTAGAATTTATAGTATTGTCAGCTAATTTATTCTATACTCAGACCTCAGAGTCTCCTTGGGTCTGCAGGTAGATGAACCCAAGTCTCCATTACTACTTTGTATTGTGTAGAGGTTGTGGTTTTGTTTATGGACTGGCTGATTGCAGAAATTAAATGCTATCCATGTGTTTTTGAAAACAGAAAAATGGGTTACAGTCCTGTTGTTACAATTCTTTTTTTTGTTTGTTTTCCACTCTAGATTAAAGACTCTATTGTTGGAGAAATAAGACGAGAAATCGTAAGTGGACTTTTGGCAGCAGTATCTTCCAGTAAAGCATCTAATTCTAAACAAGATAGCCATTAAGTGGAATGACAGGTAAATTCTTGTGAATTTCTTTGTTTAACCAAATTCAAATTGTACTTGGTTTTTAGTTGTGTGTTGTCTTAATACACAGGTCTGTCTTTCTAGATAAGTTCTTATTACTAAAATATATGTATGTTATCCTATTATATGAAAACCTAAACAGAGCTAGGATATAAACAAATACTTTTAGAGCTTATTGACATATAATTTTATTTGAAAGACATTATTATGGTAAATACTGAAATTTGAGTTTCAAATGAATTATGTTTCAGATATATAGTTCACAGAATAAGACAATCAGGAATTCTGATTTTCTTTCCCAATTCTGTCTTTTAAAGAAGCATCTTACACAGATGCAATTCTTATAACAACTTACACAAATTTATGCTTTGCTTATTAAAATGAATTATTACTATTATATCTCATAACCCTAATATATTCTATAAATTATATACTATAGTAATACTTGGTAAATATAAAAAGGAATAATGTACTTCAGTGTAATAATCTTGAGTAGAACCAAAAGTATCCATCCAACAAAGCATGAACAGCAAAAATATTTCCAAAGTATGATGTAATTTCAACTATAGAAAATGAGGTAAATGCTTTTATAAATTATGACATAAAATAACTCATAGTACTTGTTTTTGAAACCATTGATAAAACAGCCCAATCTCAGGACAATAAATAGGTATCACAGGAAGATTTACGCTTATTTGTGTATAAATTTAAATAAAGTTCTAATATCCCTTTAAAAAATTCTAATGATAATGCTTACTTGAGTGAAATGAATATTTTAAGATTTGATTATTGTTAGTAGCCCTCATATGTATTCTTGAAGAACAGTTTTTCTGTTTTCTGCTTGTTAAAATATTTGTTTAGTGAAGGGTTAGGCTTGTGGCTAGAGAGACAATTAAAAATATGTCTTTGTTTAAAAACTAGAAGAAAATAAGAATAAAGGGCAGAGTACAGTGGAAAGTATCATTATACTCTTACAGCAGTATGTATGAAATGAGAAAAGAAAAATTTCAAAGATTAATGGGGAAAAAGAGGGGGGCTTCAGCGAGGGAGGCACAGAGGCACATAATGTTTGTCTTAGGATTGTGTCTGTGGAATGCATTTAATCAGTTCTGTTAACAGAAAGAATTTTAATAGTGTTTGAAAGATAATTGATGGTGATTTTTTTTTTTTCTTTTTGAGGTTAGCATGGACCCTGTTAGCTGTGTAGTCTTGGAGCTGTCGATGGTGTACGCTGTGGAGAAATTACTTGGGCTTCAGAAGATACTTGCTGCTGAGCAGGGCTGCTCTAGACAACATACCATGTTTATTTTCTCTACATATTCTTTAAAAGCATGCATAGATGCTTAGGCACTTTGCTAATGTTTCTTTCATAAACTCTCAAAAGTGGTTCAAAAGCCTAATATTTATTTGTATGTCTTCATTTTCCCAGTTGATCCCATAGGTAGAATTAATTATAAAACTTGAAGACTTCCAGACTTAACACATATATAACATATTTCTTCAGACTAGCTTCTTAAAACACTGACCTCTATGAGGTATGTACTGTGCAATAACTGATTCATTTTTTGAGAGCTTGAAGCAACCAATGATTTTTTCCCTCCACTGCTGTTAGTCTTTGTCACTTCCAAGAAGAAAAACTGTCCTGTTGTAAAAATTACTCTGAATTCTTGAGGAGGTTACTAATAGCAGTGGGATAGAATGATATGAGGGTTACCTGTAACTACTTATGTTCTTACACTGTAAGCCTTGATGCTTTATCCAATACTAATGTAATTTTATTATAGCTTACAAAGTAATTTCCTTCTGGAAAAATGTGCCTTATGTTAAACACTATGTACTTTTTGCATTGTCCAGACTTCTTTATTATAAGGAGATGTTTCTTCTTCTGTCCTTCAGACTAAATCGTAGAGTTTCATAAAAAATAATTGGGTCTATGACTTGAATGGTTAGAACTGAATAAGCTGGTTTTGTTTTGGTCAAATGGAAGTCATTTAGTTTTGTTCTCCTTCTACATAAATGGTTTTAAATTCAAGTTTAACCAATGAAAACTGTTTTTTTTTTTTTGAAAAAAATAGATTATTTGGTTTGTATGTGTTGAATAAATGTATAAAATAACTAAATATTATTGGAATTATTTTAGCATTTATAATTTTCAGCTGTTGTGAAACTTTAATCAAAAGTGGTTGAGGTGTTAACAGTGTTCTTTGAAAGAATATCTAAAAGTTTTATAAGTGTTTGAAATACCACTCAAAGGCTGATTTCTAAAAAAAAATTAAAACAATAAAGTATTTATTTTGCCTAAGATGTTGTTTCTTTTCTTGAACTGTAGCATGAAGAATTTGGGATTAGATTTAATATTGAACAAACTGGACGACCGTAGCATTTTACCTTGTAGGTTGAATCAGGTTGGTCCTAGAGAGGCTTCCATTATGCTTTCAAACACTGTTGTTCAGATGAGACCATCCTGGAGAGGACATGTTTCGATGCTTGTTGGGTTAGTCTAGTTCTGTGCTCATACTGGTTACCACTTGAGGGCAACTACATTAAAAAAAAAAGAAAACTAAAATGAACAGAGTAAAATTTCTTTTATTCTTCTGTTCAAATTATTCCTTTTAACCAGCTGATTCTAACAATGATAGTAATGATACATACAAGTCAGACCTCTCAATTAAGTTCAGGCATCAACAATTTACTCAGATTTGTGGGCACTTTTGGCTAATGTATGACTATACAAAATAACCAGAATTTTATTACCAAAATTAAAAATAGAGTAGTTGCAATGACTGAAGGAGTGAACCAATGGAGCAATCACTATTAGTATACAAATGAAATAAAATGAACCTTGGCACAGTGAAAGTTTTATTTTTCCCCATCCATTTTGAACCCTTGTGCATAATCAACATTGCAAAGCTATTATAGACCATGAAGAATGGTCTAAAGATTAGATGGGAAAGCATAACATCTCTTAATTTATATGTAAGTTTAAAAGTATCCACTTAAAAAGAGTAATAAGAATTTCAGAGTATAACCTGAGTCACAGAAATCTTTATCAAGGAGAGCTGGTTTGAGCAAAATCCTAAAGACTGAAAAATGTAGAGTGTATGGTTTAAATAAGTAAAGAGGAATCTTTAAAAAGCTACCCAGAAGGCAAATGAGCTTTAGTTACCCTGCAAATAATGAAAAGTGTTTTTAGAAATACAAGTTCTCCATCCCTAGCTTGTATATAATGTGCTGAAATCCTGGACAAAGGTATAGAGGAAGAAAAAAAAAAAGTCTAAATTGCTGATCTTGAAATTTGGAGTTCCTATAAGTGATTTGGGAGTCACTATGAATGTGAATTGGCAAAAATGTAAAGTTTCTCAAACTTAAACATCTTGGTAACATTTACATATGTATTACATCAATTAAGAATATGTTTTCAACTGACCATCTTCAGCTTTTTCCAGTGGGCAAGGGGAGTGCAGTTAAGTACACATTAAAAGCTCGTTAAGTTTTGGAAGGTTTCTCTAAGAGATGCTGCCTGCCCTAGTTCATCACCCAATCCAAATGGGTACATGTTGCTAAGGGAAGAATTAAGCAAAATTAGTGTGTAGTTGCTGCCCCTTGCTGCTTTCTCTTACAGAGGAAATGACAACACTTCAAGGAAATATTCTAAATGCATAAAGTTATGATGTTCTATCCAAATAACCCCCTTTATTATACGGTGTTTTAAAATTTTTGTCACAGGCACTTTTATGTTAAAAAAATCAATTCTCTTCTAGTACTCATAATAGTTTGCATGCAGAATATCAGTATGTTCAGCATTTATTAGAAATGTACTTATGTGGAAGCTTCACATCAAACACAAGGGTCATTTTCCTCACTGGGATCTATGTATGTATCGCAAGAGAAACTAAATTTTTATGAACAATGATCTTACTTGCTCACCCCATGGTAGAATGTCTATGGTTTCTATTACATAGACTTATTGTAGAAGAAAATATATGTACTTCACATGATACTTGGCATTGGTTCGAACTATATTAGTAGTGATATTGCTGGTAGGGATGTGACTTAGAAATTGCCGAGCACACAGATGAAGCTTGGAAGGTTAGACATTAAGTGAAAAGGACAGAAAATGGATTCAAAGATCCCAGACTGAATTTCTCATCCTTGTTGTATTGTTTAGAGCAATAGGACATAAGACATGGTTCTACTGAGTTAAAGAGAACTCGATTGAGTTTCCACTTTTCAACAAAGAAATACAGTTTTTGGGAAACAAAAGAAATTTGCTCAGAATGCCACTTAGAGCAGTGCTTCTTAGACTTAGTATGCATACAAATTAGATCACCCAGAGAGCTTGAACAAATAAAGATTCTAGTTGAATAGGTTTGGTTCCTACTTTCTGGGCTCCAACTTTATGCATTTCTATTCATGTTAAAATGAAACTATTGGTGCTGATCCATGAACTGCCATTTGGAGTAGTAGATCTTACTGTCTCTTCAGGTGATCCAAAAGAAAAAATGTACCAGGGAGAAAAGAGGCTTTAAAAAAAATGTATTTACTTTTATTTGAAACTCAGATTTACAGAGAGAAGGAGGGACAGACAGAAAGATCTTCCATCTGTTGTTTCACTTCACAATTGGCAGCAATGGCCGGAGCTGAGCTGATCCGAAGCCAGGAGCTGCTTCTGGATTTCCCACACAGGTGCAGGGTTCCAAGGCTTTGGACCATCCTCTACTGCTTTCCCAGGCAACAATCAGGGAGCTGGAAGGAAAGTGGAGCAGCTGGATACGGACCGAAACCCGTATGGGATCCTGCCATATGCAAAGCAAGAACTTTGGCCACTAGGCTACTGCGCCCGGCCCAAGATGCTGCCCAATCCCTTGGCCAGAAATTTTTCTTTTTGGCTCAAAATGCAAAATGAATAATGATATAAGCACACACAAAGGAAGACCTCCAGGGTATCCACCTAAATCAACATGGAAGTGTACAGTGGTTCAAAGAAGGCCGAGGGGCAGTGACAGTTGTGTGATGGACAGAGCTTGCTGGTAATGGTAGCCAATAGTAGTTCAGAACATGGCAACTGGAGACTGATAACAGTACAAAGTGTTCTGGAGCCACAACTGTCAAAAACCAGAATGAGACCTGGAAAGTAAAGAATTATTCCCAATATTTTACTTTCTAAATACCTGTAGCCCCTGGGACTGGTCAGGGCTGAAGTCAAGAGACAAGAATTCAGTGTTGGGCCCTGCATAAATACCTAATGGCTAAATTCTCACCTTGAAACTACCAGGATCATACCTTGGTGCTGGTTCATTTCCCAGCTACTCCACTTCCCATCCAGCTGCCTGCATGTGGCATGGTAAATCAATGGAGGATGGCCCAAGAGCTTGGGACCCTGCGCCTGCATGGGAGACCCAGAAGAAGCTCCTGGCTTCGGATTGGCTCAGCCCCAGCTGTTGTGGTCACTTGGGAACACTTGGGAAATGAACCAGCAGATGGAAGGTCTTTCTCTACATATCTTCTCTGTAAATCTGCCTTTTCAATAAAAATTATTTTTTAAAAAAAACATATACAACCTAGTTGTCCATATAATTTTCAAGAATCCAATTACTTTAGCCACTAATGTGGCTTTTGAACATCTGAATGAGGATAAAGTTAGAGTCAGGAGCTAGAACTGGAACTCAAATTCAGATATCGTGATGTGTGATGTTTGCACATACTGCACGTCTTAACCACCAGGCTAGGTGTCCTCTCACCAAAGAGTTACTTACGTATCTTCACAATAATTCTCTTAGGTAATTCCAGGTACTTTCTTCCTTTCTTGCTCTCTTTGTTGAGATCCCCGGAATTCCCATGCTCTTCCAATGGGGTTTTCAGTTGGCCAAAGTTAGACCAATACTTCTAGTACACAGTTCCCCTGGCAGAAGAGCAACAATGCTAGCAGCCCAGCTTTCTCACACAAATCTTTTGTCAAAGTATCTTTGCTTATTTCTGCTTTCAAGTGCACTTCTATGAAGTTGTCAATGGGACAAAAATACCTAAAACAAACATTTTGCTCTTCTTCCTTCCCCAGTTCAATTTGAGAGCTTGCAAACTTAATTCTATACCAAGCATCCTCATTCAAATCAACTAACTCAAATCTACATTGGCCAAAGCTTAGTGTGGATGCAGTGTAGGCATGAATTGGTCCTGTGCTATTTTGGAGTACAGACTAGAATTTCCAAGGACAAGTGTTGAGGTCTTATATTATTTATATTATTACTTTTTAAAAATCTGGACTTAATTATTTAACAAGCAGCTGTTGAATATAAGGAGGTCATGCAAGTTATTTATTTCCACAACATTATTTCAATATTTGCTGCCTTGCCAACCATACCAGCATTTGAGTTGAACCATGTAAAATTCACAAACGAGTTTTAGTTTGGGGTGCTTCGTTGTCAGTCCATTATTGCATAAGAAGCAGAATATAAAATGCAAATAATGTCCCAATTTATCTGATGCAATTCTAAATGGCTTTTTTCCAGTAGCCATTATCTCCCTAGAAAAATTTTTGGTTGATCCAGTGTTCTTGCCATGTCCATCAGGTGAAAAAAGCAGCAAGTGAAATTGCCCGTAGCTCTGTAGATTCTGGATACACATTGTGACAAATTATTTGTAGTGAAACATAATAACATTGGAGAAAACTGAATCCCCATTAGGAATGTATGCGTATTAAAGTACACAGTTGTAATGATCAATCATGGTTTGGGGAACACTTTGTCCCAGGCAGGCTTAATCTCACATGAGTTTTGGGTTTTGTGGCCAGCGGTACATTTGTAATATTCCTTGGTTGATGGATTAGCTGCATTAGACTAAAGCTAGCTGTAAGCACATTTCTGTAAAACACTTTATATAGTTTCCAACTATCAACAAAAATAAAGTGAATGGCAGGGGAGCTATCTGAAGGAATATGTCAATAACTTGCATGTAGAACTTGGGCAAGAAATCTCTTCTATGATGGAAAAATTCTAAACTCAGGGAACTCAAGGAGAAATGTTTTTACAGTGTTTTGCTAAGTTTTATGATCTTTATGTCCTTTTCTACCTTTCTTCTTTCCCTGCCAGAAGTCCCCTTGAGGCTGCAGATTGTGTAGGACAAGGTAGTTCTTTGTGCGATCTTGCCCATGAGTTTGAGTCTGCATGCTGGGTTTGTTAAACACCAAAGTCATCGTGTTCAGTTCTCTATACAAGAGAATGTTGCTAAAAATATACAAAACCGAAGAAAGTCTAAGAATATCAGCACCAATAGGTCCAACCCGGAGATGGATAAGCTGTAACGCCAGCTTCAGCCCCAGAATTTTCTTAACCACTTAAGCCTTACTTTCCTGGAAAATTGGAAGTAACAACAGCACCTACTTATCTTATTTATTGGGGAGATAAAGAAAGTATAATAGCATGAAGCATATTTGGCTA